AAGCCATTTTGAAATAGAATTACTGTAATTCCTGTGCCTTAAGTGCTAGCCATTATTAAAAGAGTATAAAGCTCTAAAACATACAACTTAATCTGTTCTTATGTCATGGTACATGTTATTGAAGAGTAGATTCTAGCATGACTGCAAAATGACGTTAACATTGCAGTTCATTTCAATATAAGATTTTTAAGCTATTTTAAAAACATGGAGAAGGTTTTTATAAACCATTAAGCCATTTCTTTTTCCTGGAATCAGGCAATAAAATGAGAATATCCTTTCTCTTTATTACCCAAGATTCTTGTTCATCCACCTTTCAGGGCAGTGTGTGGTACTCTGAGTCTGGATCATCCATCCATCATAACTCAAATGAAATCTCTCTTTTACCAAGCATCCCTTAGGAATGCAGCCTCTGTATGTGCTGAGTGGAGTGAGGGGTGCTTAAATAATTAAAATGTAAAATGAGGAGCCCTGAAGCAGAGTCCTCTTTCTGTTGTCTCTAGCCTCTAAGCTCCTGTTACCTAGGACCATGCACTTCGGGAAACACGGTTGTCTCATGTGTTTGTATCAGTTATAGCTCAGAACAGCATCTTTTATACAGTCACTTCTGAAATATTCATATGACAACATTTAATAAAAAAGCTAGTTAATCTATTTGTGTAGTAGCAGAATTACAAAATCTTATTAAAATGTAAGAAGAAGGATAATTACTTGTAGTATTAAGTATTGTTCCTGTCTTCCCTAGAAATCACTAGAAATACATATATGCTTCTTTTTTCAGCTTCTTTGACATAATAAAATAAAATCTCATATGAAAGCATCATTTATATTTCTCATTCACAGAGATTTAAATGAAGGAAGCTTTCTATCTGTCTTAAACAAAAGACTTCGTCTCCCTTTTTACAATGTCATTTACCCCTCCATTCCCTTTTAAGACTGTCTGGGATTTGTCTGTCTTTGGATATTTAACAAGCTCTGAAGTAATCTCAGAGAAACCATCATATATTTCAGTGAGGTTTAGACATGCTCTCAAAATTACAAATGAAGTGCATCACAGAAAGTCCATCTGCTGCGATTAATCACATTAACCTCAAGCAAGGAGTCATTGACAGTTAAAAGGAACTTAAGGTCGAGACAGAACCTTAGGAATTTTTCAGTTGATGAATAGAGGAGAACACTGAATTCCAAAGAGGTTCAGTCTTAAATCCTCTTTGTCTCATCCAGAGACACTGTGTATGTGTGTCTGTCAGGGTGTGTGGGGTGTGGTGGGTATGTTGTATATGATAGGGGTAGGTATGGGTGTGAAAGCTGGAGGCTATTGCCAGATGTCTTCCTCAGTATCTTATGAACCTTGGTTTTTGAGACAGGTCTCAGTGAGTCCGGGTATTAGTGATTTGGCCTCAGTGCACTCTCCTTCACACTCTCCCTCAGTGCTAGGGTTCCAAGTACACCAGAGTACTTAGATTTTTACATGGGTGTGGATAATCTAAGCTCACGTCCTCATGCTTGCACAACAATCATTTTACTCATTGGCCCATATTCTCAGCCCTCGTTTGAATATTACATCACTAACCAGTCTCATTTGTCTCTCCACCTACCCAGCAATGTACCCTTTTTCTTTAACTAGCTTATTGCATTCTAAGTATATTCATAAATTTCTTATTAATAAATCAAAACTAACTTTACCACCAAACCCACTTTACCCTCTGTTTATTAACATGTTACAGGTATGATTTGAGTCCAAGGGATGCCTATTGAAGTTTCCAGTGTCCTGTAGTGAAGAACTGAACCAAGGAACTCATGGTCAATGACAAAAATAGACTCTTTTGAAAGAGAAAGGCACTTTTAAGGGGTGTGGGAGGGTGCAGATAGAGAGCCAAAACAGATCTGAGACTCAAAAGCCCCACAGCCTGTCAAGACCATTCTTGGATCATTTACTTTTTCAGGGAGATCTATCCATGTCCCACCCTGAGCTCTGTGTTGGCACGTATAACTCTGGTGGGGCATCGGAGGTCCCATTCCTTCTGTCATCGGGTTTCCTGTTAATCTTAATCTTGATGTCTCATCTGCAGCCTGACTTTCCTGCCACAAGGGTCTGTAAACCACTGTTGTACTCGGTATATCTGTATACTTACATCTCCTTCTTCTCCCCAGCTTTTCTTTTCTTGCTTTGATCTTAATGTCCGCATCTCTCTTTGAGGCAAAACCCACTGGTAATTTCTAGTTTCCATTTTAACCTCTCTTTCAGCGTTCTCGATTCCCCTCAGTTCCTGCTTCCTGTCTCTTTCCTTTCCAAGGTCACCTCCCCTATGTGACTGTTAAAAGCCAGCTTTCCTCCAGGTCCTGTCCCTCCCTCCTCTCCCCTTTGCTCCCCTCCCTTCCTCCTCCCCTTCCTTTCCCTTCTCTTCCCTCACATTTAAATGGACATAATGAATTGTTGTGGATAATTTTGCTTTTTTCATAACTTTTTAAAGGGCTTTTAACTGTATATTTCATACAAATAACATAGATGGGTGGATTATTTTCAGTGACTTAATGTGAGTTGAAATAATGTCTCTGAGATACTATTCTGTTTTTCCATTAACATATTTTAGCAATTTTCAACTTGCTTAGCTAGGTATTTGATTAACAGAAGGAAATAAAGAATTGGATTAGGTGTAATTAACACCTGGAATTTGATCGCCTTATTAATCTCTAATGTAACTGAAGACTATTAAATATACCTATATCTTAGACATAACTACTTAGATTGTGACTTTCTATAAGAGGTACAGCTCTGTATCTTAATGGAAGAATGGAAAACACCTTTCTTAATTATAGTGATGTTGATTTTCCAGAGTAGCAGAGACACAAATGTGAATTTCTATGAGAACAATAAACAGATTGTTCATTAGGCAAAGATCCACTGCTTTTGTGAGTCTTCCAAAATTGTCTTCCCTTCCTGTTGACTCCATTTTCTGTGAAACAGTAACTTCCACTGAACCCAGCCCTTGAGTCTCCCCTGTGGCTTGTGTCTGAAGCAGTCATGGTTAACTGTATGGACTTAAACTCCTTTGAGACATCTAAGACACTACACTGACTAGGTGGTGGCAGAGTCGGGGTAAGGGGATACTTTCTGAAACTCCAGCATATATGATTGGAATTGTGTTATGACACCAGGCAAAGACCACAGCAAGAGGCAGGTGTTTGTGCTCAGCTAGAGGGTATATCAGCTCTCAGCAGCTCCAGGAGTTGAACCAAGGGACATTAAGGACTGGTTGATACTGTCCTCTCAGTATACTGTTTCCTCTGAGGTTTCAAGGGATGGTGGGCAAATGTCTTATTTAGGGTTTCTATTGTTGGGAAGAGATACCATAACCATGGCAACTCTTACAAAGGAAAACATTTAATTGTGGCAGTTCAGAGGTTTAGTCCATTATTGTCATGGCAGAAAGCAAGACAGCATGCAGGCAGACATGGTGCTAGAGAAGTAGAGTTCTACATCTTGACTTACAGGCAGCAAGAAGCGGTCTGTGACACTGGGTGTGGTTAGAGCATATATGAGACCTCAACCCCCCCCTCCACAGGACACACATCTTTAACAATGCCACACCTGCTCCAACCAAGTCACACCTCCCAGTAATGCCACTCGTTTGTGGGCCATTTCTTTTTAAAACCACCACAGATAACCCTGAGTTTTGTGTGGAATATTTTAAATTTTTAACCATTGATAATTAGTATTTCTGTTTTTGAAATTTTCCATGGGAAACACAAAACTTATGGGTTAACTTTTATCACTGTTTGCTGGATTCTGAACTCTGATCAATCTTTTTCTCAGCTGTCCAGGTCCATACATCTTATGCCTGTTTTTTGATGTTGTTTAAAAAAAATCCTTTTTATGAATTGGACTTGAATTTTTATGTTCTGAACATACATATGTAGTCTCCCATTTATGACTCAAGCTTTACCTGTGATACCCATGGCAGTAATTCTTGCCAGTCACTGACTATCCAGTGAGATCAGTGTTGGTCTTCAGTACAGAAGTCTGCTTCTAGCTACTTCAGTCTGTACTTAGTACCTTAATACTGGGCTGTCACAGTCATTGTCCTTGATTACTGACTCCAGAGCGTAAGACTTGTCTTTCTCAGGACTGAGACTGAATGCTGTATTCTATCATAAGGTAGCAAAGATGCTTTGGCATGGAAGAGACCACAGGATAATGAGTGTGTGTATAACATAGCTTCTCTTAAATGTCCTTAAGACCAGGGAGCTCACTGCCTTCCATGGCCAATCAGCTGGATCTGGACAAGTCTGACTTCAGAAACTCTTTGCTTCCTTTTGCTGATTCCTCTCCTCTTTGGTCATTCCTGGACAGTAGCTTTGAATTCCCTTGTTCATTGGGTACTTAGTACTGAATGAGTATTCTGGTCTAGCACATCTAATGCAGACATCTAAATGTTAACAGGGTTTGTGATAGGAAGCAGCATACTCCCTTAAGAATAGATGTGTATAGATTTATGTATGCATCCTTTTCCACATCAGGTACTGGCAGGTTTTAGAAGTAGGAACTTGTTCTCTGTCTGTTCCACTGTGTTTCTTTTGAAATTGCTTGTCTTTGAGTGTCTGCCTCTGTAAGCATTAATAAACATTTCCTACATTTGAAATCACATGTTTTGCTTGATGATACATCTCTTTCGAGTCCTGGAGGTTTGTTTTTTTCTCCCAAATAATCACAAGTCTAATTATCTGCATATTAAGCTTAAAATCTCTTAATAGGTTATAATGCTTAGATTCATCACTTCTGCCTAGGTTGTTTTGAATATCATGACACCCAGCTGTAAAAACAAGAGTACATGCAGGTTTAAAATTAGCTTCCATAGGTGGGCCTTTGAGACTGAACTCCCCTTATTATTTTCTAATGCCCTGGAAGGAAAAGTTCATGCTCTGCTGTTGTTAGCTGACCACACTGCCTACCGCTGATCACATTGCCGTCTCTGCATTGCTGTTGTTCTTTTGTATTCCAGGTGCTGTGATACTCTTGGGAAGAACCAACATGTTCCGCTTTAATCATCCAAAGGAAGCTGCCAAGCTCAGGGAGAAGAGAAAGGTGAGGGTGTGGGGACTGTCCTTAGATGGGGGTGTCTCCTAGGTCCTACTACTTTACTCTCTGGGACTAAAACCTCTGGAAAGGAAGCTTTGTAACCAGTTCAGTTCCAGGCAGTTTGTCTCCTGACAGATGAGAGCAGGAGAGCCAGCAACTAGAGTCCAGAGCTCACAAGAAAAAAAAAAATGTTCCTTTTAGACCCTTCTTGCTAGTCTATGCATCCCTAGAAGAGTCAGGCTTTGTGTGGCGTTGAGGAGTTACTTGCATCTACCAAAATCTGTCTAAGTAACATAGCACTGAATCACTCTTATCACAAGTCCACCACAGTAAAGTATGTTTTTCCCTTGGGTAGGAGACAGAGTGGGGTGAATTTAGGACCATTGAGAGAAATGGGCTTGGTCGATGGGAGCAGTCAGAGGTCTCATAATGGTAGAGGAAAGAGAGGACCATGGTCCACACAAAGAGAGGACCATTGAATGAGAAGGAAAGAAATCTGTAGCATGGCCTTTACGAGACTGCTGAAGATAGTAAAACCTACAGTTTGCGTTGTTGCCGGCTGGTAACTGTGCTCTGCTTATGTAGAGATTCCTCCAGGTTGTCTACAGCAGCTATTACCACCCCAATTTACAAGTAACCAAATGGGAAATTAGATTAAGACAGACGGTCCATAACAGGCTTGAGGGCAGGAGGTGGGCAACCAGGACCTCCACCCTAACTTGCGAGCCCGAAGTCTTTGTTCTAGCCACCAAGTGACAAAGCATCTCATGCCACTCCTTATATAAGGGCTGCCCAAGGCTGCCAGGACCTTTGATGGAAAATGAGAACAAGGCCATATTCCTCAACTTAATCAGGGCTGGTGATCCAGTCAGTAAATCTTCTTCCCTATTCCAGCCCAGGACTACTCTAGACAGTCCTTTTTTAGACACGGTTCCAGAGAGATATGGGAAAAATCTGTCTGCCAATAGCTTTCTTTGGAAGCAAATAGACCAGTTCTTACATTTTAGGCCTCCCCTCACCTATCCCTTTCTCTCTGTCACTCAGTAAAAGTGCATGTTAAGCGCAGCAGAGATACAATTTCTAACTACTACCTAAACTTCAGTGCAGTGTAGCTAGGAGGCTTTCTGAGCTATGGGATGCCTGGTGAATAAAAGGGACCATTTTGGGGTCAGGTAAAAATCTGACACAAGAGAATCTCCCAGGAATCTACGGGGATGACCCTAGTTAATCAGATATGTAGCCTGCCCTAGCCATCTCCTGTGACCAGACTGGTGACTAGCCCAATTGTTATCAGAGAGGCTTCATCTAGCAATTGATGGTAACAGATGCAGAGCCACTGTCAAAGATTAGGTGGAGTTCAGGGAATCCTGCAGAAGAGGGGGAGAAAGGATTGTAGGAATCAGAATGGTCAAGGGCACCACAAAAGAAAAAGAAAAAAAAAACAACCTCACAGAATCCACTAAACTGGGCACATAGGGGTTCACAGAGACTGAACCAACAACCAGGGAGCCTGCATGTAACTGACCTAGGCCCTCTGCATACATGTGACAGTTGAATAGCTTGGTCCTCTTATGGGACTTCTAACAGTGGGAACAGAGGCTGTCTTTGACTTTTTTTTTATTGATTTTTGGGATCTACCCTTAATACACGGGGAAGTGCTTAGTCTTATTGCAATTTGATATGTCATGTCTTGTTGATACTCATGGGAGACCTGCCCTTTCCTGAACAGAAAAGGAAGAGGAATGGATTGGGGGTTGAAAATAGAGAGAATGAGGTTGGGAGGAGAGGAGGGAGAGGAAATGGCGGCCAGGATGTAAGATAAATGAATAAAATTTATCTTTTAAAAAGTGATTTTTGGTGTATAAGGGACTGACTATCCCTCATCTACCAGATATTAAGCATTCACCTGAGTGTACACATCTCATCGCCTGTCACTAATGGGAGGCAATGGTTGTAGAGCGCTGACCTTCTCATACCCACCAAGGTAACCACTCCGCCCTGTGTCTGCTCTTAGAGTGGCCTTCTGTCCTCCTTCAGCTTGTCTATGACCGACCTCTCCAAGTCCTGTGAGAACCTGTCTGCAGTCATGTTGTATAACCCTGGGTAAGTGAACAGCACGTCTTCCCTGTGATTAGTACTATGGTGGTATTTATGGTGCCAACTATATTATAGTCACTTAACGGTAATAAAGCTTGGGCAAGGGCACCTCCTCAGCATATCAACTGCAATCATTTTCCAAGTTTTTTTCCAGCTAGTGCTGTATATACATAATTGTACTTAGTTATAATCACAGTACAAATGGGATTAAGTTCTCTGATTTTTTTGCTTAACAACATAATAAGCATTAGCAAAGATGGTTACAAGCTTCATTATCATCTTCATAACTGTCTAATATTTTAAGTTAGCACTTTGATTACCCAGCGCATGATCCCTTTGGCTTAAATGCTTTTATCTTGTTTTTATAAATGATCTGTAATAACAGAGGCAGCCTTGGTCTTAGGGCATCCCACAGCCCAGAGAATTATCTTCACTTCTTTAAGACATCAGAGGATGGCTGAAGATACAAAAGAGAGCATTTTAAATGAGTTTAGCATCTGGGTGACCTTGAGTTGTTAGCCTAAGTGCTCAAGTCCTTGGTGACTTCATCAGTAAGATGACAGTGATGATAAAAACATCTTGAAACACGGAGCTATATGAAAAGACTTTGGGTACTCCTCAGTTTTGAGGTTCCACTATTTCATTCTTTCTACCAAGAGAATGTCACATAAAATAATGAGCTGAATGAGTGCAATGAAACTCACAGAGATGTCCCTTTGGAGCTCTTCTTTGTTTAGCATTTACTTTGTGACAGGCATGGTGCTGAGTCACCTCTGTCCTCTCACTTCTCAGAGTTGTGGTTGCCTGGCTTTACATGTGCATCTGTTCATGAATTAGAGCTCTGCTAGTGTCCAGGTCTAACTCCCAGACCTTGCTCCCACTTCATCAGCCCTAACCCTGTTCCATTTGGGGACTCTACTTCCATAGCCATGATCTGTGGCTGCTCCTTGAGGTCCAGATTGGGCAAATATGAGGAATTGTTGCTTGATTGCCCCTGAATGCACTTTCAATCTTATCTCTACTTTGTTCCTTTTAGAGGCCATCAGGTTAAAGCCCAGATTCTGAGTTCCTTGAGCCAAAATAAAAAGAAAGCCAGTTGGTGAGACAGAGGGTCTGTGACTTTCTGGTCACTCAATTTATTTTATGGTGTCCAGCTTCATCTTCATCATGCAGCCTTTTAAACTTCAGGTTGTGTGATTACTGAGGGAAGTTATATTCATTAAATAATTTTTGTCTTGAGATAAGCCAAATAGTAGTGAGACCCGAAAAATACAAGAACCCTTTCAGAGTCCCTGAATAGGCAGTCTTTGTGAAGGCACGAGTGCTTATAGGCTCTTAGAAATTGTAGTGGTTTTCCCAGCTGCTTTGTATGGTGGCTAGAAGAAATCATTTATAGGCTTACATCATTTAATGTAATATGCTGGTCCTTGGTGTTGATATCAGTGGTGTGATCCCATGTGTTAAGTACTGATTTGTCTCCCAGCCCAAGACCCAGGTAATCCTGAAATCTGTCACCACCTTCCCCATCCTCTGTGCAGTGGAGCCCTTTGGTTTGCTACCATTTGGAAACTTAGTTTGTTACCTTTGAAAACAGAAAAAGTAATCTCTCCTCAGGTCACTAGCTCTCTTTTTATTTTGTATTTATTTGTATGGTATTGAGTTATTTTCTTCCACAAAATAAAGAATATATAGCCCTATTAAAAGTGATATTGTATTTTAATTGATTTGAAGTTCAGTTTTTTCCCTAGTATTGATAAAATGGCATTAAAGTATACCCTTTGGACTTCCAGTGTGTACAACTACAATGTCATCACTTCTCTGACTCCCCAGGGTCACTCAGCATGTCCGCTACCAGTACATCTCAGCATGGCCTGTCGCATCCATCTCATTATATCTTGGCACATCTCTGTGCATCCCTTTGCAGTTTTATACCTTCAGGTAGTGGCTGTGACTCAGCTATGTCTGAAATAACCTGTGCCATAGGAGCTGGTTCTTTGCTTGTTCCAGGGCCCAGTGATTATTTTTCCTGACACCTGCAGCTCCAAGACACCAGGGAGATGAACCCATTCTTCAGGCTATTCCCAGCTCTCATCAAACTGAAATGTCCCTGTTGACCACACTGCTGCATTTCTGTTATCACTGTTTTTCATTCTTTGTGGAGACATTCCACCATTCAGCAGACTCATTCTGAGAACTATTGTCAACCAGATATGACTCTAGGACAGGGGCCTTGATATGGACAATGTTCAATATCCATGCCAGCTGGAGGCCAGAATCAGTCTGTGGATGACTGGGAGATCAAAGAGGTGAAGGTGGAATGAACTGTGGTGCCTTTGGGGCAGTGTTTGGCAGGTGTGCTCAGGGAGGACATCCTGGGTAGGAGATCTAATACTTGATTTAAGACTTGAATGGAGTGAAGATTATAGTCAATGACACTCATAAAACACAAGGGGGAATGGAAACATTTCAGGCAAAAGAGAAGGGAAACAAAATGCTTCAAAATCATAAATTGGACAGTGGACCAGGGTTAGTGGAATACAGAAGAAGGGTGATGCAAGGTGTGAGGTGAGGGACAGTTGGTGGCAGCCTGTGTGGGCCCATGTGAGGCACTGCAGGGAGTGGTGTCTTCTAAGAATGCTGGTAAACATGAGAAGTCTTTGTCTGGGACAGTAACCTAAAGGGCACTTACTATGGAAATTGTGCTATAGATTCAGGATATTGTGAAGAAAGCTGTTTATTTAGACCATATGAAACATAATGGTGTATGGTTCTGGGCTTGGGCATAGAGATATAGAAAAGTGAAGTCAAGGAACTAGGGGAAAAGGGGAGATTTCCAAGTTTCAGGTGTAAGCATGTGGGACAGATGTTGTACCCTTTCCTGCAATGGGCCAGACAAGGAAGATAGTTGATTACAAGTGGACAGATGATGAGAATTCTATTTACATCTTTCTTGTTAAGTTGGAAGCTTTGTGAGCTCAAGGGCCTTGACTTACTTTATTTCACAGTGCCATGTATATCTCCTGGTTATTACTAATAGCAAATAGTTTGAGATTGTTTTAGTAAGACAGATGAATTCTCTAGGGTTTTTTATTTTAATATTTTTAATTAATTTCCCTGGGTATATACATTGTAATTATTGAGATAAGACATAATATGCAAAGTGGTAGAACCCCAGAGATAACACAGTTTCTTAAATAATTCTCAAGGTCATGTTCTGATCCTTGACTAAAGGTTGTAGAAGGAGGGGAATGCCTTATGACAAAATGGGAAAATAAGCAAAGAAGATCAGGAAACCCAAGTGAGAAGCAATATATTTCAGGTTAAATTACAGCTGGTAGCTTCTCGATGCTTCTGATATGAGAATGATGCATTCTCTTCACCTGGCTTCTGCAAAAAGACACATTCGTGTAATACTTGTTGGTACAAATTCAAGTAAAATTATTTAATACTTCATCATACCATCTTTCTCCCTGGCTCCCAGTCCCCTGCACTCGCTACCTGCTGCAAAGAGTGATTACCCATGAATTAATATATAATTGAAGAAGAATTGCCTACTCTGACTTATGGGAAGACAGATACCTCATTATGAAATTGTTGGCTTTAGCAAGTGGGCAAAATGAAGCATAATTAAAGCTATAGCCATGCTGTTTTTACCATCCTTTTTTTTTGTTGTAGGTATAAATGCTCTCTGCATAAATTAAGCTAGAAGAACATTGAAAGAAATATGTTTAGTACCTGGGCCCTTATTAAAGAGTTGTTTAATTCCAGATAATCCACAGCTTGGACTCAGAGCATGCTCATTTCTCAGAGGAAAACTTCAGGCTGTGATGTTCCCTCCAGGCAGTGGGTATTGCTGAAGATCTGCTGTGTGCTGACAGCCTGCTAAGTAGTAGATTTCCAGCTCTCTGTGGAGAGCCTGGGAACACGGGCTTGTCATGTGAATGCTTGTAGAGCGAGTGCAAGACAGCATGCAGTTCAGAGCAGAAGGCAGCTGTGTCTGCAGACTTCCCTGGACTCTTGGGAAAGGACTGATGTGACATGATGTAACTAGAAAGGGCTCTCTTTCTTCTGCCATGCCCCCTTTGGGTAGCCATGTCCTAATGGGTTGGGTGACAGAAAACCAGAGGCCCTGTGGCTTCCAATAGCAGTCTTTATTAGGATTGAGATCTCCTGCAACCAGTCCCTTAGAATCTGTATGAGTCTGATTCATGAGAACCATCTGTCTTCTTTTTGGAAACCAAATATTATTTCCTTGCACTGGCACCAATCTCTTGTGCAGTTTAGCTCATTCACACCCTGGACTAAGTGACTAGTGTTCTTGTCTTAGAGAGGATAGCAGAATTACAAGAAGTCTCAGATAAACTTTCTCCTCTTTTGTTGGGGTTATAAAGATGTTCCTGGCCTGCAACAAGCTCTTACATGGGGAAGAGAGACAGAGAATGCTAACTGAAGACTTAGTCCTCAGCACCCACCTCCCAAAGACTCAAAGTCACTGCCCTGACTTTGTACTGAAGGTTCCACTCTATGGCTTCCAGGGGAACTGTCCTTGCTGGGCCCTGACTGTTTACAGAAGTAGTTGTCACTTGCTGAGGAGGTCCACTGCAGGGAATGTAGAGCATCCCTGAGGAAGACTGGGCAGAGAGAGTGCTGCTGAGAGGAAGAGGAGTCAACAGACCTAGGCCCAGCTCCCTGGAAGCCTAGCTCTAGCACTTAGAGTTTGCTTTAGTAAACCCACAGAGTTGTTCTTTAGGGCTTGTATTTCTGTGTTTGGCAGATGAATTTGAGGTGTAAATTGCAGCTCAGGTTTCCTAAATTTGAACATAGTGCTGTGTATGAAGATGACATTATACATTCTTATTAGTGCTTTAAGAAGGCTTCTTCAGAGCCAAGTAGGTGATGTATGTCCCCATTCTCATCACTGGAGAGATGGATGCCTGAGGATCAGGAGTTTAGGGCTAGCCTCAGCTGTGTAGTAAGTTCAGAGCTAGACTTGGCTATATAATCTC